TGACGACGTATGTAGTCAGAATGTAGTCGGGCCTGACTTCGTTCTGATGACGTATGTAGTCAGAATGTAGTTGGGCCTGACTTCGTTCTGATGACGTATGTAGTCAGAATGTAGTCGGGGTGTAGTCAGATGTAGTCGGGTCTTTTTTGGGATGGAGGGTCCAAGTCAATTTTCGAAAAACGGTGTACTTCCTGTGGAGCACCAATATTTACATATGTTGATATATATATATATAATGTATATAGACTCAGACATCTTCCTGTGACAGATTCTTCCTGTGGAGGCGGTGCGTCCGCTGTAGGTCTTGCTGTCTTGTTGAGGGCGGTGTCTCCGCTGTAGGTTCAATTCGGCGGTATACCTCCGCTGTAGGATTGTTGGCGGTTCCTCCGCTGTAGGATTGCTTGTGGCATGTGTAGCAACCAATACTTCAGTCTTGGCATGTGGTATAGAGCGTTCATTCAATAGCAGAAGGTTGAAGACGTGGCGGTGTGCCCGCTGTATACCATAGAAAACAAAGGTTTTCTGACGCCATTCCAAAAATGCGCAAAAATATAGGTTTTTTGAAAAATGATAAAAAAATTATTGAAACAAAAACCTAGAAAAACTTGAAAAACGTGAAAATCAAAAAAATGCAAAAACAAACTTTTCCAAAAACGCTGGTCAAACTTACACTAACTTATAAGTCAACTTATAAATCAGCTTAAATCTCACGAGATAAGTTCACGGTAAGTAGAATATGTATGATTTGTAAACAAAACAACATGAGCTAAGTTAACCCGTCCTTGTGGTAAGGGCTTACTTGAGCCCGACTTCACGTGAAGTGTGAGTCTGAGATCAAATGAAAACGAAACTCATGCAACACTTCGGCAATCCTCCGTTTAGCAAACACTTTAGGAAAAATAAAGCACTGTCACGCCACTTCGTTTCATGAGAGTTTACTTATTTTTCTCTGTGATTGCCATGCATGAGAACGTTTCACAAGAAAACACGTTTGTTCACAGCAAGACTCACACGCGCAACTCTTTTTCTCTCTGGGATCGGACACGAAATTCGTCGCGCTTTCACCCCAACTTGTGGACGAACTTGGAATGCCAACGTGCTAGGTCAAATGTGTCACACTTTCTTCCATGCCACACAGCCATTCTGCTTCGAGACAACTCATCCGCAGGGTTGCTTTGACTTGGGACCCGTTCGAACCAGAGTGCAATGCTTTGAGCTTCCTCGAACTCAAAGATGTCTTCCAGCACGAGATCTGCACCGTCATTGCGGCTCCAGCTCTTCAAGAGACTGCCACGCGTCGCCTCACTGTCGGTGAAAACGACCACTCTGCGACTCGTGAGAAGTTCCCTCCACACTTCAAGTCCCACGAAGATTGCCAGAGTTTCAAGCTCATGAATGACGACCGAGTCTTCGTTGTGTGAGAAAAGGTCAATGATTTCATGAATGACGACCGAGTCTTCGTTGTTTGAGAAAAGGTCAATGACTTCAGGAGGGACTTCCTCGCTGAAACATCTTAAGAGCTCACCTTCTCCAGACAAAAGCACGCCTCCGATGCCTTAGTAACCGGTTCGATCGAAAGAGGAATCTATATACATGTGCACATGCTCAGCCAAAGCCCTGGGGTGGTTTTCTTCGATCAAGGATCTCATCTCTTCCAACTTCTCCTTTGTGGATTCAGAGAGAGAACTTCTGCCCGACATTATGTCACTGGTGAGGGCTCTGAGACACCTATTCATGCGACGGCCAAACATCTGGCACGATGCAAACTGAAGTCTTCCACGAAGTCTCTCTGCAGGGTGCTTCTTCAGAAGTTTGGTCGCAATCACGGCATCAAGCTCATCCAAAAATTCCTTTCTGCGATCTTCCGTGTTCTGAAAAAGCCCCTGCCATAACTTGGTGTCTCCAAAGTCAAGCTCTACACCCAAAACCCCGCAACAAGTGCTAAAGGGGATTAACTTGTGATCGGAGATTTCCCACCCAAGGGCTTGGGAGAGGACACTCACGCACAAATCTGTGTGTTTGCTGAGAGCGTCGCTGGTGACGCAAAGGAAGTCGTCGAAGTATGCTGACCAAACCAGGTCTAGCAACCTTGTGCCAATGGTCCACAAACCCAAAGCGCACCTCAAAAAAGACGTCGCCGAAGCTATTGCACCAAAGGGCAGAACCCTCTGTTTATAGATTTCCGGCCTCTAGGTGGCTGGGTTGTAAACCACTAGAAAGGCTCCATACTCAAACGACTCTTCAGATATCGGAACCTGTTTGTACGCGTCAGCCAAATCCCAGCACTTGGAAACCAGCTGCACGGATTGGTCTTGGCCATGAAGAGCTTTCAACCAATAGCTAACCATGGCGGAAATGTGGTCAATTGTGTAGATGGACACAGCTTCCGGCTGGGTCATTGCACTGTTTACCATCGAGGCTCGATATTCATCGATAGGCCTGATCTTATTTTTCTGCCGCACAGGGAACCTTTTGGTCAGGGAAGTTGCTTCAAGCACATCACAAAAACTCACAGGGCCTTCAATGAACCCTTTACGCACCTCTTTGACAGTGGCATCGTAGAGCGCCTTGTCCATTTCATCGTCCCCTGCACTCTTGCAGCTAATCAAGAAAAAGGATCTGGCTACTTTTGCAAATTCCCTCAGACTGCTTTTGGAAATCGAGGCCGGCCTAAACTTCTGTTTAAACACTCCCGATTCAGGCAGTCTGCCTGTCAAGTCAAAACCTTTGCACAAATCTGTGACTAGGTCGTCTGGGTGATTTGCTTCTTCGAGAAGGGTCTTAAACAGAACCAAGCGTTTTGCCTTTAAAACTTCCGCAATCCTTGTGGGCAGGCTACTCTTTAGCTCAACCTCTTTGTGTTCAAGCTCTCCAATCAAACTGATCCACTTCTTGATGACTTCTGTCCTGTGTACCGCGGTCTAGGCTTCGTCTCTACCTACACAACACCAACTTGCTCTCCTCACGTCGACAGGGAAGATGTCTTCTACCAGTATGGGGTGCCCTACTTCCAAAGCCTTCTCTATGAACTCTTGAGGAGACCAGTGAATTCCAATTTTCACTTTTTGACTCTCTGTATTTGACCCACTCACGGAGGACCACAACACAGGAGTGGACAGTTTGCAAGCCAAGGAAGGCATGGGGGTATCAAGGGGATGCTCTATGACACAAGCAAACTCGGAAACCGTAGGCGGTAAATGCTTTCTAGGTTGAATGTCGGTGGCGGCTCGAAGTGATTGCAAAGATGCTTCCTGCAAGGCATAAGATGGGGTCTTACATATAGCTCCCAAGTCTTGCATACACAAGGCAAGCGACTGGGCCAGCGCACGGCACAAGGGCCAAGGATAGGCTGTCTCCAGAGCCGTGGCCCACTGATGATCCTGATAGCCCCAAGGCTCGTGCTCATGCGAATTGTCACAAAGTTTGTCAAGGGCTAGGAAAGTAGGGATGTTGAGGACTAAGCGAGTGAGCTTACGCCTAGCCGATCCATACTGGCAGTGATGAAAGAAAGTGTCAAAGTGTGTGTGCGCCTGCAAAAACTCGGCCACGTCACCGGTAAGCCACATATAAGAGCGTCCATGTGCCAGAGGATGATTTCCCAATAAGGAACCCAAGGATGTACCTCATACATGGAATCCATGACTAGTGAGGCCACCGTTTCGACCGGTGCCATCTGCTCAGGGATTCGGCTGAAGGCAGCACCTTGCAATTGATGAAAATCTCTTTGTTCCTCTGTGGGGAGAATGCCAATGGCTTGTTAAAACATTGTTCGGAGGTCCGCAGTGGGTTCTTCATGCACTACCGGAATGCCCATGTGCTGAGCAACCTCCTGCCATGGCACATATAGCGCCGGCGTGGTTGATTGTGGATTGTTCGGTCGCTGACAGGGCAGCTCTGCAGCCGGCAATCTCTCTGGCAAACGTGACCCGGACTCGCGGGAGTTCTGGTCGGTGGCTGCCGTTAAAAGCGTGCGCTCAAGAAAATCCTGATCAGGCTCTGATAGGGTGCGGGCTGACTCGACATCAGTATCCTCCTCACCGCATACACCTGGGAAAAGTGCCGTCGGGGGAGTTGCAATTGCATGCCATTGCAGCATAAGGCAGAAGCGAAAGGCGCTGTTGCGGGTAAGTGCCACTGGTCCGCCAGTAAAGCAACACCCTCCAATCGGCTTCCATGACTCAAAGGACCATGCGGCTGGACAGTGCGGCATGCCTAAGAGGGCTATGGGCAGGGTTTCCCAGCCTTGGCGAGCTAGTCGATCAAGTTGGAGCGGCGCATCTAGCTTCGCTTTTCCAAAGGCATGAAAAATGATCGGTCGCATTCTGTCCGGGACAATTCGACTGGCTTGGAAGAGATGTTCACCTGGCAACGACATCGCTTTACAGGGTCCTTCCAGGTGAGGCAATACTGACAGGCATCCTTGTTCGAAGGTGGCACGTGCCCAGCTTGTGAGCCAAGGTGTGCGTTCTTGGCCAGCTTGAGTAAGAGCACCAGGATGAGCCCGTTTAGGCCACTTAACCGGCGCTGGTTCCGCGTCACCACCATTGTCCATGTTCCCTCTGCAAGGCATCGGCCAGAAGTTGTGACACATGTATGTGCCGTATAGAGCCCACACGACTGCAAGATCAAGCGGGTTCTCCATAGGAACCCCTATGAGCGGGGTAAATAAAGACCCCCCTTGAGAAGCGTCCGTCGGACATTCTGGCGGAGTCGCCATGGCCAAGAGTTGATGTCGATAATCAGCAAGCTCCTCAGCTAGGCATTCTGCAGTGGAAGTGGTTTCAACTGGACTAGGGCGGCCTGTACTACCAATGGAGATTACAAGACCGGCATTATATTCAAGGTGTGCTTCTGTGAACAGTAGCATGCCCAGCTTGCTGCAGGCAAGATCCGGGTCAGTGTAGTGCCCTACCAAGTCAGGCCATCGAAACTGGCTTTCCGCTAGAGCGACTAGGTCTTGCACTTCAAACAGCGTGACAGGAACACAGTCATTGTCAATGAGTCCAAAATGCACCTTTGGGAATAGAAACCTGGCAGCCTCGAGCGCAAAAACCCCAGCCCAGTAGTAAGGGACTGCACGCAGGCCATTAGCATGACTTGCCTGGGTCCACAGGGCATCTGTCTTTTCTTGCTGCGGTCCGACAAGCGCACGACGCGCAGACCACCATCGTGCAAAGGCAGGTCAATGTTCCACTGCTTCTGGGCCACGGTTGTCCACAATTAAGTAGACCATGCCACATGATTCTATGATCTCCCTGTGTTGGAGTAGGCATTCAACAATGGTGACGGTGTTGGGGCCCTGACCAGACAGCTCCGAACGTCCGATATTCGACAGGGACCCATGTCAGTATCAAGACCGAGGAAGGACTGGGCTACGGTTGGTGTACGAAGGGCCTGATATGCTTGGGCCTTAGCCTGGTGCTCAGTATGGGGACATCCATGCAAGAAAGCGTGCGTTTTCTGCTGGGTAATCCACCCTGGGCTGGAATGCAGGTAGGGAGCAGTACGGACACGCTCGTCTTCTGAAACATCCATGATATCTAAGTCGTGCCCTAACATATCAACATCTCCACCATGGTCACTTATCGCCCATGGATCCTCTACATTGTACGCCATGAAGTTGGCTGGCGACTATGCACTGGGCGACTAGGTGGAGGCCACCAACACGGGTTGGCTGCCTGAGTTAGTAGGCTTGAAACACGACCAAGGCAACAATTGCGACTACAAGCCAATGAACAACTTCAACACAACTCGAGGTGCCCTCCACACGGGTGGATTGCACTGGCGCGCACCGGCTCCTGGAGAAGTGACTGCGGCTGCTGGGAGCCAAAGGGGCTGCAGGTTCACTGACGTCGACCTTGCCATTGCTGTTGCCTGTCCCGCTACAGTTGGGAGGCAGCGCTTTCAAATCGGCTCTCAAATTGACTCACAGGACGAGAAAAATGAGAAATATGAGTTTCTTCCTATAGCGGGGGTAACACAACAAAACAGAAAACTCGTCCGCCTATTCTGAACAGGACCTCCGCCCACAAAAGGTGGAACCAAACGGAAAGAAAGATCAATGAAAGATCAAAGGGCCCTAGACAGCTCATAGAGGTCCCCTAATGTGCGAATTGAAACCAGAAAGGCTATTTCACTAGTTGAGGATGGTCCGGACGGGGTTGTCACGACGCAGCAGGCTGGGCTCTGGTTATTCAGCCAACATGCAACTTAGCCAATATCAAAATCGTCAGAGTTCGGATACACACTGGCGAGAAGATAGGCGGTAAACAGAAGGCCATTAAGGTCCGCATGCGCCGTAGCCAGTGGGAGCACCATGCGCCGTTGGACAGGTCCAGGCATCAGCGGCAGGAGGTGTTCTACATCCCGTAGCGACGCAATCATAGCTTGGACTCTGTTAAAGAGAGCCGTGTCGACACGGTAGTGCTCTCTTGCAGTGAAGCGCTGTCCCGACGCTTCCCCAAGGTCCCCAAGGTCCTGCGTGGGGTCACCATCTCGTTGGGCCCAGCATCCCATCTGTCGAGGAGAGACTCCTTGCGGACGCGCCCAGGACCACGTGACCGGTGGATGACCAATTGGTGTCCGTGACAAGGCCGCTACCCTAGTTTCAAAGAGTTCCAAAAGCTGTCGCTCGTGGTAGAGAATGTGACGAACCAAGCGCCAGCGGTACCCCTTGTTTGAGCCATAGACGCTAATGCCTCTGTCGTTAACTGCAACGCAGTGTGGTACACAGACATTAATCGAGCGTTCTTGGTACCGCGCAATCATTTTGGCAAGCGCCGGAGGAAAGTCGAAATTGTCCATCCACCCAGGGACAACTGCCGCGCATTTTGGATAGTTTTCTGCAAGCGCGAAACAATGTAGGAGGTACACACTTGTGTGACGCCCTTCATGCTGGAAACTGACTTGGATATCCAGAACCCCATAATCGATATCATTGTGTCCAGTTTCAAAACGGACATAAGGGGTAACATCAACGAAACAGTCGATATCAAGGGATACCGGCTCTGGCGTGTTTCCAACAGCCCACGGCGGCACTGGAGGCATCATTGTTCCAGAACGGCAGGGCAACTACAAATCCTATTGAAGGTGCCTGAGCCACTTGCGGCAGCGCTGGTGTGGGAAAGATGTTGTCGCTTCATTTGGTGTCCTCTGAGACAAGCAGTTTACCAGGTTTCCCGTATTCAACCGGTTTGGGGCGACCTTGGGTGACATTGCACCAAAGGGAAATGTCAGGGGGATTGAGCCTGCGGTTGCTGAACGAACCAACGGGCCCTACTGGACCGGACACTTCTTTGGGTGTGCAAAGGGCCGAGGCGGAGGGTGGTGTTCATCTGCAGAGTCGTTTTGGTGCCTGCCTTCCTTCCCTTCCGACCTCATCTCCTGTGGCTGGGCTGTTACCGACTTTGCCTTCGCCGGGGAGAAGAGCGGACCCTTGGCTTGTGCGGGGGGCGGACTGAGCTTAACTTCTTTATCCGGTCGCTTCCTGACAGGAACACTTGCCTTGGGCTGACTTGGGGGGGTGCCTTACGATACCTTGGCACAGCTTGGTCAGACAGGGCCCATAGCAGTTGCGCCTGTTCTTCAAACTGGGAGTCACTCGTTGGCCACTCTCCTTGCCAGTCTCCCGAGGGCACCGGGCAGGGTTCCCAGGTTTGCCGGAAGTCCTGCTCCCATTGGCTACACGATGGTTGCCAGTCAGATGAGCAGCTTCCTTGAGGCAGATTAGCCTGACACACGGTTGTTTTCCCCGCCTTAGAACTGACCGGATCTCTACGCCCTGCACCATTACTCGGACCTTTGGTTGGGGGGCGTTGCGGCTTGCCAGCCTGCACTTGCGCCGGCGGGGCCAGTTGGCTGAGCATGTGAAGAAGCTCTACTACCGGGAGGCTGACCCGGAGAGACAGTTCGAGGAGTGGTTGCTTATTATCATGATCATAAATAAGCTCACAGCGGTTCGGGCCAATCAGTACTGGCAGGGCCATGTCAAGGTAGTTGTACCTTTGCTCCTCTGTCTATAGCTTTCTAAGATTTTCGAGCCAATGGTCTGCAAATTGCGCACAAAACAACCAACACAGCGAGTGACGCTCCAAGGTGAATGACAAATCGCGGAAACACATGAGAAGGAATGCTGAGACCTTGAGAAACCAAGGGGCTTCAAACAAGGTAGGAGTGCAGACAGGAATACGAGCCAAGGCGACACAGCACAAACTGTCACTTCTTCCTTTTCTGACAAGGCTGCCGTGCCCGGCTGCTGCAATGCAGGGAGATTGTCTCCCTCATGATATTTGTCCGAGGGCCTCCTCAAGCGTTTCCATCTCTGTGTAGATTGAGTGACACGCCCGTGCTCCATTTTGGTGGGCATGGCTGTGGCCAGCCAAGGGGTTGTTCTGCACAATGTCAAGCAGTGTGAGGGCAGCTTCCTTGATAGCACTCACTCTGCGCGCTGCATCTTGGATAAGGCTCGGGAAGGGCAACAAGTGCTGCGACCCCTCCTGCCCGTGTGCCTGCGGGCTACTACGCGCTGCCTCGTGCGCAGGCCTGGAAGCTTGCGAGGCGTAAACACCCGGTTGACCGATTGGGTCCTCTTGAAAGATGCGAAAGGTAGGGGGCAATGGCTGC